ATTTAGCAAACACGCCTGCAAAAATGTCAGAGCGGTCTAAAATAGTGAGGAGAAATTGCACGTGTTTGTGAAGTAGTTACAGGATAAATTAAATTGTGCAAGAGATTGTTAACCGATGTTTATATTGTTTTACTGTTGTGACATACTGCCGTAATTCACCCACAGGAAATATGTAGAGAATTTTCTCAGTTTTTTGGATTCTACCTTCACCGAGAAAAACTCATTTGTATTTCAGAAATGAAGGAAAATGGGGGTAAAGCAGGGTGTCCAAACTACGGCCCGGGGGCCATTTTGAATTGGCCCTCAGCAAATTCAAAATATGGCCAACAAATTAAACTTCTGCTTGTCTTTTATTGTACTTCTTAAATATATATGTTCAAATATATTAAACAGTATTCATGTGTTAATAAGCCCAATTTCCCCCCACATTCAATTAAAGGGCCCATGTCATGCTTTTCCGGTTATTACCCGTCCCCTTGTGTGTTATGAAGGTTTTTATGCATGTAAACGGTGTGCAGAGTCAAAACCCTCAAAGTACACCCTGTAGCGAGTAAAACTCTAACACAGAAAATACCTCCCCAAAACGCCTGGTTGGAGATACGTCACTGCCCATTTGAGTCTTGCATTTAGTTCCGGGTACGGCATGACATGCCGTACCCGGAACGAAATGGACCAATCCGGAAGAGCTATGGCCACACCCAGCGGCGCTGGCCGCACCCTCTGCCAGCCTAACATTTACTGTTGGAAGCTCGGGTTCAGTTCACAATCGATCCAGTCATGCCAATGCCAACGACCTGTTTCCTGAAATGTGAGGAGAAATCTGAGCTGTTTGTCCGACCGACGGAAGAACCACGACGAAGTCAGTGGTTGAAATTTCTGTTTAACACTGTTCCTTCAGAGGTTCGAAGAACGTTACTGTGTGCGCGGCATTTCACAGGCGAAAGCTTCCAAAACATTGCCCAGTTTGAGGCCGGATATGCACAGCATTTGAAACTGAAGGACGATGCTATTCCTAGTTTGTTTGGACCGTTTGGAGCAGGGGAAGATTCGGGTACACAACCTGTAAGTTTGCATTGTTATTTGTGTATTTATCAAACAAGGTATCTACCACGACTGTTTAAATGTGTAAACGTGTGTCGGACTGCTAGCGTTTCCATATATCAACTCTAATATCAGCAGATGGCCTTACATACATGTATCTCATAGCAGGAGAATGTCTGCATTCACACACGAAATACTCATAGACAGTATACTCCGGGTGATTTACCATACGGTCAGTCGCGAAACGTAATTACATTATAGCTGGCGTTCCTAGCGTGTATGCTACCGAGCTAACCAACGGAGCTAGACATGAGTTTGCTCGGGAAAACATTGTTGTTATGCCAGCTACAATGAATGTAGCAGACTACCCGTATAAGATTGCAATTGTAAAAATGTTCTTGATAGCCTAATATGAACCACTATCTGTTGTTGATAATATAGTATAGTATAGTATAGTATAGTAGCCTATAGCATATTACACTGAACAACTAGCAAACGTAGGTTAGCAGTGTAATCCAGCTGGCAAGCTGACAAACATAAAACGACTAAGTTTCAATAATATTTAGTGATTGGCACTTCATTTCGTTAGGAATGTCTCCCAAACAAGGTATCTACCACGACTGTTTAAATGTGTAAACGTGTGTCGGACTGCTAAGCCATTGACACAGTGCTAACTGTGCTAACTAAGTTGCTAGTGTTTCCATATATCAACTCTAATATCAGCAGATGGCCTTACATACATGTATCTCATAGCAGGAGAATGTCTGCATTCGCACACGAAATACTCATAGACAGTATACTCCAGGTGATTTACCGTACGGTCAGTACATTATAGTTGGCGTTCCTGGCGTGTATGCTACCAAGCTACCGTTCATAGCGTGTATGCTACATAGCTAAACAACACACACGGGATGACCCACTCTGATGCCTCGTCCTATAAAGCCCCGGCAGCCGCTTACAAAGCTGCGATAGGCAAGATGCCGAAAATGCCTATAAGGGGAGGAATGGATGATATACCGTGTATATATGTATATTTACGCATGTTCTTTTTGTACATTTCTAAAAATAAAGTTTGATGGAAATACTTAATAATTATTTGCTCCTATAACATATCATTCATATATAGCAAACCATGATTTGATTTCTCATCAAACAGTAGTAGTTTATTACAGGTAAAAATAATTTACTCTTCTATAACAACAGTTGTAGGTACAGTTCGGTTAGTTAGCGTATAAAATATACGGCTGTACCGAGGCCATTATAAGACTGTTGTTCCGCTCAGAGCGAGCCGCAAAAAGCACTGTTAGACATGGGCGGAGCCTCTCTGGTGGTTGACTAATCAGAACAGAGTGGCCGAGCTGACCAATCGGAGCACACTAGGCTCACAGGGAGGGGGGGCAAGAGCTCCAACGAGCCGTTTAGTGGAGAGAGTGAATACTGCTGAATACACATACTTTACAGAGATGCTGTATGCGAAACCAATGTGAGTTTGGAAAATTGCACAGTATAAATCTATTTTAGTATACCTCAACAATGGAATTATGATCAGTGGAAATGGCCATGACATGGGCCCTTTAAAGTTGAAATGTTTTTCTAACAAATCTAAGTTGATAAGAAAAAAGCCCAATAACAAACAAACAATAACCTTGAAATATATCCTTCATATTTCCACTTATTATCAGCAATTATGACCCTAACCCTACCCTAACCCTAACCCTAACCCTAACCCTAACCCTAACCCTAACCCTGAAGCTTCTGTTTTAAGGAATGAGCTGCCAACACTTTTTGTAACAAAATAAATGAAACCCTCTGGAGAGCATTTTTCAAGTATCAAGAATAATTGACCTACATTTGATAGATTTTTCCAACTTATAACTTAACTTACGAGGCGATATACCTCACCTCTAGCGAGCGGCCCAGCCCTTCGTATATTCTTCTGTATGTGGCCCTCGTGAAAAAGGTTTGGACACCCCTGGGGTAAAGGTTGTGTGTGGTAATGTCATTCTTTACCTCGGACACGTCAAGGTGTTTGATGTTCCAGCTAGGGGAGGGTCCAGAGTTGTCGTGCCAGATGTGCACCCCCCACACAGGGCCCAGGCTGTCGGCTGCACTGTGGGGTCAGAGACAGACCGCCTTTATAAATGAGCAAAAACAATCCAAAGCTACTCAATAATGATGTGACATTGATGTAAAACGCATCTGTGTATTGACTTTATGTGGAGATTTTGGATTTCACCTGATGATAAAGGTGTCTTGAGAGTTTCTCCTGAACAGAGTGCATCCTGGGACATGTAGTTCTCTTGTCTGTGAGAAACCATCTTCCCCTTTGAGCACCATGTACACCTGTTAAACACATAGATGTTACCTTTAAATATCGGATCATTTTGGGTAGCTTAGTTTAATACAAGTCAAGGAAAACAAGTTCTAATCACAAATAAAAGAGAGATATAGACAAATCAGGAATAATACACTTTTTTAAAAGAACAGAATTCAAGTTGTTGTTTGCCCTTTACTATCAGTAAAATGTCCAAGGACGTTTGGATTATTTTTATATGTGTTATCAAAGACATCTGCTGGATTCTCACGTGCCTTGCCAGTGACCTGTTTAACGTGGATATAAAGACGGGGACAGAGCGAGACGTGTCACACTTCTCTGTCTGAACAGCGATATTTCAGAATGAGGAGAGCTGCAGTTTTTCTGGCGTTGCTGCTCTGTCTGCTCTGGACGAGGGCTCAGGGTGAGGATGGAGGGGGGACAGGGAAGAAAGAGGGGGAGTTTGATATCCAAGGAGCCCACGATCAGAGCAGCAGTCAGACCCAGATGAGAACTGACCTCTGGGCTGAGCTGAAGGAGCTCAGAGACATTGCCATCGAACACAGGATCAAGATCCAGAGTCTGGAGCAAGACAACACAGGTGACCCACCTGACGTAACACACACTGAGAGCCACATCACGCTGCACTGATACATGCAATCATCATTACTGACACTCTTCACTTTAAGGACTCATTTGTTGTTTTTAACAAAGCCAAACAGGTCAGACTGACAGCCAGCGAGAGCAAGAATGCATTGCTTACTTATATGTTGATGTACTATAATGTTTGTGACAGAGCTCCAAAGTGACATCTACAATAATACTAATAACCATTTTGAAATGTGTTCAGTTCTAGAGACCAAGATGAGCTCCAGTGAGAAGGAGGTGGAGGAGGTGAAGAGAGAGAATGCAGGTAAGAAACAGAAACATCATAAAAAAGGAAATGTTGCGAATATTTAGATACAAAGACATGTTTTTGTGTAAAATACAAAAGGGAGAAAAGAGAGGTGAACAAAATCAGAGTCTAGAGCAAGACCACACAGGTGACCCACCTGACGTAACACACACTGAGAGCCACATCACGCTGCACTGATACATGCAGTCATCATCTCTGACACTCTTCACTTTAAGGACTCATTTGTTGTTTTTAACAAAGCCACACAGGTCAGACTGACAGCCAGCGAGAGCAAGACTGCAGGTAAATATTTACATGTGCTTATTTATATGTTGATGTACAATAATGTTTGTGACAGAGCTCCAAAGTGACATCTACAATAATACTAATAACCATTTTTAAATGTGTTCAGTTCTAGAGATCAAGATGAGCTCCAGTGAGAAGGAGGTGGAGGAGGTGAAGAGAGAGAACGCAGGTAAGAAACAGAAACATCATACAAAATGATGCCAACAAAATGAAGAGACGATCTTGTTTATAAGTCAAAAGTGATTTACCTGTTTTCTATGTCTAAACATTGTTCAGCTTTAGAGGCAAGAATGAGCTCCAGTGAAAAGGAGGTGGAGGAGGTGAAGAGAGAGAACGCAGGTAAGATATAGAAGTATAATATAAAAGGTAAATATTGCCTATAATGATAGAAACTAATGAGTTTGACATAATGAAGAGATAACCTGCTCTTTCTCTGTATTGCAGATCTTCTGGCTCGAGTCACAGCAAGTGAGAAGAAGAGCACAGGTAGGAGTACAAAGTAACCAAATAAGAATAGGAGGAATTACAAACATGATTGTATTTTTCTAAAAACACGTTGGATTTGTTTGCCGTTTTAAAGGCAACAAATTATTCCTGTGAATTTGAAAAGTGAATATTATAGTATGGGAGAACAATCTTTTAACATAAGATCTGCAATAGTTACATTTAAAACAAGAGACTATAACTTTACCTGACTAAAACAATGTTAAACTTGTTCAGCTTTAGAGGCCAGGATGAGCTCCAGTGAAAAGGAGGTGGAGGAGCTCCAGAGAGAGAACGCAGGTAAGAAACAGAAACTATTATGAAGAGTCCAAATGTTGTTTAATGAAAGGAACTGGTATACTGAGGAGAATATTAAATATCAATCTCTGCTGGCTATCAGAATCCAAGAAATAGACTTTCTTTGTTTTAATAAACAGTTTGTTAATGAGTTCTCATCTCTCTGTGTGCATCCTCCTCTTCCTCACAGACCGTCCTCAGGTGGCGTTCTCAGCCGGTCTCACTGATGCAGGAGGAGTCGGACCCTTCACCACTGATATCACACTGAAGTACAGTAAAGTCTTCACCAATATCGGCCAGGCCTACAGCCCAACGACAGGTACTGAACACACACACACACACACACACACACACACACACACACACACACACACACACACACACACACACACACACACACACACACACACACACACACACACACACACACCTTTCTTAATGAAACCATTAAAACATCTCTTAGTGTTCCTACAGTTGATCATGGTAGAACATTAAACCAAGTCAGGATCTCCTACGTGTTCCTTATTTAAAAAACCCGTCCTTAAGTCCTGCTGAAGCTCCAGAGACAATCTCCCCTCACTGATCTTCTCCTCTGATGCAGGTATCTTCAGAGCCCCCGTCAGAGGAGTCTACTACTTCAGATTCAACGAGTGGGAGCACCGTTCAGCTTGGACCGCTGTTAAACTCTTTCACAACGACAAGATGAAGATGGGGATTTATGATTACCATGATGGCGGTGGCTATATCTCTACGTCTAACTCAATACTTCTTCAGCTGGAGGAGGGAGATGTTGTCTACATCGTTCTGCCCACCAGCTTCAGCGTTTATGATGATTCGAATAATCGCATCATTTTCAGTGGATTTCTACTCTTTCCTCAGTGAAGCCCACTGTAAAACACCCACTGCATTAAGTTTCAACATTACATATTAATAAATAAGTGTGTTGACTCAATGTATATAATTGTTTGTGTTTATTTCTGCTTGGTTACATGAACAAGAGGCATTCATTACCATAACAACGTTTTCTACGGACACTATAAGAGAAACACTTTAGCAGTGCTGTTGTTGTCCAAACCCCCTAAACCGAGACCAAGTCAAGACCAAAGAGCCCTCTACAGTCTGTGCCCTAACGACAGAAGTGAGACCCACACTGCATGACACAGATATGAAACATATATAACACAATAAACAGAGACACTCCTCAAAATGATCTGTCATATCCACAATCCCAGAAAAATTCAAATGTCTTCATTCACCTGGTTGCTTGCCATATATACTTACAGTATATGTTTGTGTATGAATGTTATATGAGAAATGTAAAGCAGAGTTTACTTTTATGTCCGGGAATCTTCCTTTCTGATGACCTCTTTGTCAGAGACAGAAACTCATCAAAATGAGGTTGATTCTGAGACCAGACCTTCAAAAAGTGTTCTTGTGATCAAGACCAACTCAAGTACCAAAAACAGTATGTCTGGTACAACTGTATAGTGGATCTTTGTTAAGATCCATATGTCACGGATAGGATCATAGTCTGTGCTAAATAAGACATGTAATCATTTACAAAACATCACCATGTTGTTATTTAACAAAATAATGTTGTTTAGTCGAAAAAAACGAACGAGAGGAAATGCAGCCGGCTCTCGATTTTTAATCCTAATTTAATCATCATCTTCACCACGATCATTTATGTTTATGTTCGCCGAATTGACATGAAATCACTGACAAATATGAATATTCTGTATTCAACTTCATTAAAACGTTATTAACGTGCCTAAACTCAGTAATTCACTAAAAATATTTATATTTTAATGGAGCCTTGTCAGGCAGATCAGGATCCCGACGCGTAGCGGAGGGATCCTGATCCTGGGTGTTATTTTTCCCCACAATGACCAAGTCGCTGCAAATTATCCCGCTTATTAAATGGCCACATTCTCAACAAAGTAACGATATGACTCCCAATATTAATTGAAATGCTTTTATGGATTTTGAAAATGTTTTTATTGATTTAAAAAATAGTTGTATGTATTGATTTAAATTGACATTCATCCGCTAAGAAAAATATTCCGTTGTTACCGTTTTTTAAACAGTCTGAATGCTGTGTGTTTACACACCTAATGGCCCATCAGCCACAGCTCTCTCCCCCCCCCTGATCTTTCTTCTCTAGCAGTTAACTGTAGGTTACTCTGAGTGACAAGCTTACAGTTAGTGAAGTAACACTTTTTTTCACGACCTGGCTGTTTCATTCAAACATAACGCTCCAAATGCTACTGTTTCCACTCGGACTTCAATACAGCTACACCATTGTTTGGTTTCCATGGTAGCGCGTCTCTTTATATATACAGTCTATGCTCTTTAGTAGCGCGCACTCCTCTCCTGTAAATTACAGGTCCAGCTGCTGCATGAGACAGACACTGAAAAGTATTATCATCTGAAATTAATCATTATGTTATTAGTATTAAATACATATAAGTATTTTTACAGCTTGTATTTAGAAATACTCTGTTGTAATTATTGATGCATACATGTGTTCATCCATTCAATGTGGCATCTGCTATAATGGGGTTAATGTATGATATTACTTAATAATACAATACACTATATAATATATGTGACCCGCTCTATCGAAATCAGTCGGAAGTCGCAACAGCTCATTTCAAAATAAACGTGGATTTGCGCAAAAAACTATTTTTTCGGGGTTCGGGTGTTTTGTTTGATTTTAAATAAACAAAGCCTTGGCTTTCAGAATATGAAACTTTTATTTCCAAAATCACACGATAAATACATTTGTGAAGCTTGTAAAGGGAAGATGACAGGCACCTCTCACTCGCAATCTGCTCTTCCAGCGCAGCTCCCCCTCCCTCCGGCTGAAATTATGAATGTACAGTAAGGCATATAGTAATCATAGATAACACGGCAGGGTCTGTTACAGTTTGTTTTCATCTGATTTCAAATAAACAAAGTCTTGGCTTTCAGAATATCAAACTTGTTTCGTCAAATTTAGATGATAAATACAACTATGAAGCTTGTAACGGCATAATTACAAGCGGAGAACGGAGTAATTTAACGTTACAGCAGGCATAACAACAGCCGGTGTTTCTCGTGAGTGTTTTCCCTGGGAAACAAACACAATATACCCTTACGCAAAAATACACAAACACACACACACACATACACTCGCGAGCTTCCCCCAGACTAGTAATCCAAACGGAAATATTTTCCCTCCGGACTATTTTGATCATTTGCTCCGCTAATAATCAATCAGATCGATGGATTCCAGAGAAGAGGAAACTTTGAAGGCCTTTTTCTCAAAATGATGACTCGGTGACAGTCATTATATAATGTGACATATTTTGCTTAATATTTGGAGTACAAAAACAATCCTGATATCATTAGAAAGCTAGGAATCTCCTCTTTCCAACAGTGTATACAACTCAAAATGTGTCACTCATTACTGGATCAGCTGCTGCATGAGACAGACACTGACGCTGTCAGAAGAGAGGGAGGACAAAGAGAGGCCAGGCTCCGTGTATTTTATTATTATATATAGTCGTTATTCATTTGTTTTAAAGCTCAATAAGGAAGATTTAAACTTTAACACACGTTGACCGGCGAAAAACTCTACCCGGTTCCCTCGGCCCCCACCACGTTGAATAAACAGAAGGCTGCTTTTGTGGAGGAAGTTACAGCGCTACGTACAGGCTCGGCATATGTACTGCAGATTTTTCCAGCGGTATCCATACATCTCTTAATTTTGACCTCAAAGTGCACCAGATTGATGCATTTAACTTCAATATAAAGAAAAACATCTTCTGTTGTAACAACAATAACATTATAAATAGTAACATAGCTGCACATGGTATTGCACATTTAGCTTTCAGTGTTACTGACCTGAGATGTTTTTATTACATGAATTAAGGTGACTGAGGCTTTTTAACATAGACTTTTCAGTGTCCCACATTTTGCACAGAACTGTCCCACATTAGGAAATGCAGATTGTCTGAGACAACTTGGCACTAAGAGTAGGCTACTGATATGTCTACCATTTCTTTTATGAGTGTAATATCTGCATTTTCTATTTTGGTTTGATTAGGACACATCCTGGGGATTGTGTTTACAAACATTGACCATACCGTTCACCATCCCCCACCCCCCTACTGTATGTTGATTTTTGACTTTGTTTGCCTACATGTAAATGGGTGGTATTTAGTACCTACCCCCCTCTGAGTGAATACCAGTTGACTTCACATCTTGTCACAAACTCTTTGGAAGATAAGGGAATGCTCTGGTTTTTGGACAAAATTAACATGGGATCACTCCCGTCACCGGACGTACTTCGTCTCACTGGAATAGTAACGGTCATAGTGAATATAAAATCGTCCCCATGTATCCGGCCAATGACGGGAGAGTTTTGAAAGAGACAAAACACTGTTCCATACATTTAAAAACACTTAAACAATTAAACAATGTTTACCCCAGGATTCAGGCCTCTTCCCTGGCTTGTAAAGTGCAGTTATGCGCCTTGGAGGTATTGCACTATTTACAAAATGTATACCCAGGATTCTGGCCCCTTCCCTGGCTTGTAAAGTGCAGTTATGCGCCCTGGAGATATTATACTATTTCAAACAACTTTTCCCCTCCTTTCAAACACTTATTCCTGGGTACAAGTGTTATATTTCTTCCCCCTGGGTGTGTGTGAGACAAGTGAAGTGAGTCAGCCTGCCAACAAGCAGCAGTGTGCTGTCATTTCAAACATGTTACCCCACTGTTTAACACACTTTTACCTGTGTTTTGAAGACTCTTTCCTGGGTCAATGTGTGCTCAAATGTGCCCTCTTTTCTCCCCCCTGGGTGTGTGTGAGACAAGTGAAGTGAGTCAGCCTGCCAACAAGCAGCAGTGTGCTGTCATTTGAACATGTTACCCCACTGTTTAACACCCTTTTACCTGTGTTTTGAAGACTCTTTCCTGGGTCAATGTGTGCTCAAATGTTCCCTCTTTCTCCCCCCTGGGTGTGTGTGAGACAAGTGAAGTGAGTCAGCCTGCCAACAAGCAGCAGTGTGCTGTCATTTCAAACATGTTACCCCACTGTTTAACACACTTTTACCTGTGTTTTGAAGACTCTTTCCTGGGTCATTGTGTGCTCTTTCACCCCCCTGGGTGTGTGTGAGACAAGTGAAGTGAGTCAGCCTGCCAACAAGCAGCAGTGTGCTGTCATTTGAAACATGTTACCCCACTGTTTAACACACTTTTACCTGTGTTTTGAAGACTCTTTCCTGGGTCAATGTGTGCTCAAATGTGCCCTCTTTCTCCCCCCTGGGTGTGTGTGAGACAAGTGAAGTGAGTCAGCCTGCCAACAAGCAGCAGTGTGCTGTCATTTCAAACATGTTACCCCACTGTTTAACACACTTTACCTGTGTTTTGAAGACTCTTTCCTGGGTCATTGTGTGCTCTTTCACCCCCCTGGGTTGTGTGTGAGACAAGTGAAGTGAGTCAGCCTGCCAACAAGCAGCAGTGTGCTGTCATTTCAAACATGTTACCCCACTGTTTAACACACTTTTACCTGTGTTTTGAAGACTCTTTCCTGGGTCATTGTGTGCTCTTTCACCCCCCTGGGTGTGTGTGAGACAAGTGAAGTGAGTCAGCCTGCCAACAAGCAGCAGTGTGCTGTCATTTCAAACATGTTACCCCACTGTTTAACACACTTTTACCTGTGTTTTGAAGACTCTTTCCTGGGTCATTGTGTGCTCTTTCACCCCCCTGGGTGTGGTGTGAGACAAGTGAAGTGAGTCAGCCTGCCAACAAGCAGCAGTGTGCTGTCATTTGAAACATGTTCCCCGACCTTTTAACACACTTTTTACCCATGTTATGCGTCCTGGAGGTATCAGCCTATTTTTAAACAACTTTTCCCCGCCTTTCAAACACTTATTCCGGGGTTTTAGTCAGTCATTT